GATCGATCGATGATGTAAATAAGTTTAAATCTAAATTGAAGACCTTCCTTTTTAAACGAGTTTACGAACTATCTTAGGTTTTTTATTTTGTATTTTTGTGACTATGTATATATGTATATATGTAATGATTTTAGGATTTTTATCTTTTATTCAGACCTTTTTGAAGTAATGTAAAGCGCTTAGAACTGAAAAGTATAAGCGCTATATAAATATTTTATTATTTTATTATTATTATTATTATCGACTAGCTGCTAGCCCCTTATGAGAATTGTGAGATTGTTTAGTTTTTTGATTGATATCAATCCATATATAAGAAGTTTGGGAGAACTTGAAATTAAGATTTTTTTTAGGTTTAGAAGTCATGTTTTAGAAGGAAATGCTAGGAAGTTCACTTCATCTGCGTAACACCATTAAAAAACAACCTTTACTTGTTTTTAAACAACCACTTTTCTATCATAAGTGATACTTTATGACTGAACCATTCAGGATGACCTGTCAACTGAAAAGAAAACAGTTACCTTGGGAGTACCGACAGTGAAAACGCGTTCTGCTTTTGATGTGATGGAGCAAACCGGCGGTGGTTTTTATCGTGAAGGGGAATGCAAAATCCCCATGCTGGTATCTTCGGCATCAAATCAGGTACATTTCAAGGTTTTTCCATCTTTAAAGGATCCGGTAAGCCTAACCCTGTTCAAAGCATCTGCCAGTCACCTTTTTCTATTTGGGACTACACTTTTTCTCTGAGAGTTAAGGTCATGAAAGTTACTGAGCGTGCAGTATGCAAAATATTGATTACGTCCGAAACGTTTTAAAAAGCCAGAAAGTATAAGGCCAAATCTAATCCAAATCAATAGAAAGATCGTCAAGTAATATTGTGCAACACACCGTACACTTATAACATTTAAATACATCAAAGGAGCTGACGTTTGAGCCCTTCTAGCCTTACCATAGAAGGACATCAAACACTGATCACCATCATGTGAAAACGTCATATATTATCTCAAGCGAATACAATTTCGAAAAAAAAAATGACGTTTATATTAGTGAATACCATTTTTCAAGCTGTTGTGTTAACCCTATTCAGACCGGGGGAGAGCTCGCTAAATAAATGAGTAACTTCAAAACCGTTTAAGCTACATGTATGACCACCAAACTTAGTGATTTCGCCTTAAAATTATCTGGGAATATTTTAAAGTCGTCGTGATGACGTGTTCATCAATATATACGTTACCATGGCAACAAGTTTTGACAGCCAGTTTTTTGCAATAAGCTTTTTTCCTGCAGAAAAGGATTTATTCCCATTTTTACTTATTGAATAATAGCATTACAGTTAATTGAGTAATATCTTATCAAATATATCATAACTATTTTAATACACCCTTTACTCTCTATTCAGGTATTTTTCCCTTTGACGGGAAAAATTGATGCAATTTGCATTCTGTTGATGATATATGAAATAAACTATATATGAACTGCGGAAATGAAATGAAAATGAAGAAATGATCGTCCCAGTGAACGCAATTGCTGCAATTGCGTAAAGAAGCCTGAAAAAAAAATCAGGACTTCAACAGGGTTTGACCTCGCGATTTTACTGGTGCGATGCTCTACCAACTGAGCTAGGAAGCCACTAACGTTGGGAGCAGGTCAATTGTGAGTTCATATGTTCCCGTGAAAGAAGTGAATTTGCATTCTGTTAAAAAAAAATTCAACAATATGACAAAATGACATCAAATTCCGTCAATATGTCCACCAAAGCCTCGAATCGTCGAGGAAGGCCATTGCAGAGGAGAAAGGAGGGATAAACCTCAATAGGATGGCACGCGAGCCCTTCAGATAGTGATATCGGCGAGTAGAAAAATCACATTGCAATCCCCGCTATATAGTCAAAATAAACGGCTGAAAGCGTATAGAGCCAGCTCAACAGTTAGACTTTACCCAGCCTCGGTTGGAGCAGAGACAAAAACATCTCTACCCGACAGATATGCTTCGATTACTTTCCTCTGATAGTCAAGCATATTCATAATATCCCGTGGCCTCGAGAGCATCTTTTATTATGTAATATCGCTTTCGCAATCGTCCTTATTTCAACCGAAAGCCTCGTTTCAGTGCGCTTTAAATTACTTGTGAGTGACCACTTTATCGCCTTCTCTGATTGTTCTAAGCGCAGATACTTGGGTTTTTTTTTTCGGTAAAACTGGCGCCAATCAAGTATGAAAAGTCCTTCGTGCGCCACATTTAATCAGACGAACGACTTTTTTGAAAGTCTAGGGGGACTTCCAAGCTCCCTCGTCCCGGTCACAGAAAGCGAAGAAAAAGCCCTGTCTGAATAGGGTTCAAAAACGTGCTTAATGAACTGTGAGGTTTGCAAATTAACTTATAACTAGTAATAGTTGACACTACAGCTGCCCCCGTTCTGTATATTGTCGGTCAATAGTATTAATTCTTGCTCGTTGTGTACAGTAGGTGAGATAAATTTAGGAAACGCAAGGTTCCAGGCACAGTTTCAGCTCAATTTACGCAGCTTTGATCAAAACATTCTCAGTTTCTAAACCATAAGAAAAGATTTAATTAGAAGTTGAATTTTTCGCTATTTCTCTTTCACTTTTTACATTTAGTTCATTTTATTTGCCGGAAAGTAAGCCTTAAAAATTAAAAGGACGTTTGATCGATTCACGCTCGGGCATTCTAATTCTTAATTGAAACTTTACAACGGAAGGACATCTGTGAGCAGGGAATAAGTCAGGACAGAATTTGATTGTGGGCGAATTTCTGCAATCGTCCATCGTTCAGCTAGTGATAAGCTAGCCGTTGTTTACTCGTCTTGCGTGTTTGGGGCTGAGTCTTATTCCGGTCAAAGAGAGAGAAAGAGTGTCTAGCGAGGTCTCCAATATAAATCAAAGATTTGTGAACTCGTGTCTGGCAAACTCTCCAAGTGTTTATATATACACAGTTAAATGCACCTTATAACCTCATCTACGCTTAACGAGTGTGTTTTGGTCCATAACTTTCAAAACAACTGCTCCACAGAATGTCACTGAGTAACGCAAAATAGTATCGAAGTATGACTGCACAATAAATGTCACAAAAATCTACCTGAGCGGCCCCTTCGGGATTTTCTGTCTTACGTCATCGTAACCATTTCGTACTTGTGGGCGCAAACAATAGAAACGTCATCATTACCTACCGATTCCTCGCGGCCCCTGTTCAAGCAAATCGAGATTTTTGCTATATTGACTGTGTGACTGTATATTTCAACTGTAAGTACTTTCCTTAATATATGCACGAGTTACTAGAGTGCCTCTTCGGGATTTCGCCTTCTGGGCGAAATCCCTGCGGGGGCAATGAGTATATAACGATTTTGGGTAGCCAATTACAGAGTGGTTCGAATTCGTTTACCATTCGGGATCCGGATAGAATTAAGGAGTTAGAAATGATGGGTTTTGAGGAAAGGCGAAAACCGGAGTATCCGGAGAAAAACCTTTTGGAGGAAGGGTGAGAACTAAAACGAAACNTATGCACGAGTTACTAGAGTGCCTCTTCGGGATTTCGCCTTCTGGGCGAAATCCCTGCGGGGGCAATGAGTATATAACGATTTTGGGTAGCCAATTACAGAGTGGTTCGAATTCGTTTACCATTCGGGATCCGGATAGAATTAAGGAGTTAGAAATGATGGGTTTTGAGGAAAGGCGAAAACCGGAGTATCCGGAGAAAAACCTTTTGGAGGAAGGGTGAGAACTAAAACGAAACTGAATTTACGTATGACGTCGCCCCTGGAATTCGACACCGGGCTATAATGATGGGAGACAAGTGCTCCTACCAAAGCCCCATGTCGCTTATACCGAACTATCTCTCTAAACTTTAAGTGTATGCCTTTGTTTTTCTATGACCAGATAAGAAATGGTTGCAACTTGAAAGAGTTTGGTCCGACTTTTTCCTAATGCAATTCTTGTGTTGTCAAAAGTTTAAATAAACTGATTATATTCATGCTGTTTTCCTTTCCTTTAAGAGAGTCGCTTGATCTAGAGGGATAAAAAAGTGGGTTTAATTTTAGTTTAGGCATGGACAAAATTAAAAAGTAAAACTCGCGTTGACATAGACTGTGGGCACTCAGTTTGGTTTGTGAATGTTTAATTGATGTTATTTATTATCTAGCAAGTTGCGGAAACAAGCAACTTGCCGGGGACAAATGCTGAGCCTTGCATTGTTGACATGATGCAACAAGAGGAAGCTGATTTTGACAGTGAGGATGATTGCAAGATACCCTTGATCGTATTTTCCCTACCAAATCACGCCGAGGTAAATAAATTTTTTAAGCTGAGGACAAAACAATAGCAGCTTCCTTCCTCCTCAAAAAATCTTTTTCTCTTTTGAGACATCTGCGGGTCATCTGCAGGTCCGTAAAATGTTCAACACACTTCCAAAATTAGCGTTGAATTAATAATTTTGATTTAGCAATGCAGCATACAAAATTGTTAGTATTGTTTCGCTTATAAATATCATCACTGAAGTAATTTGCCCTATATCATCTTTTGATCTCCAGCCTCCTGGGAGATCTTTTTTTTTTAACCACGTTTCGGGGCGGAGGCCCGTAGCTAAGGAAATGTGGTAATCTACCCATCCGAGAAAAATTTGGTAATCACGTGACCGTACACCAAGCGACCGTCCGTCCGCACCACAGGCTTACCAATGTAAAATAACTCAAGGTTTTAATTGGAAGGAAATCACATGGCCGCCCATACTTTTAGAAAGAAAAAAACAACAACAAAGTCGTGTCTTTTTCGGCGTTATTTTTTATGTTTATACTAACGTAGATAACAGAGAAAGAGCTAGAGCGAGTTATTGAAAACAAAGGAGACGAATTTCGTAGGGAGGAAAACATGGAAATTCAAAGCGGCGGTGGGAAAATGAGAAATGCTAGCGGCCAGCAAGGAGCGGCCGGCAAGGTGAAAATGAGCAGCGGTGAAAAACAAAAGCGAACATGAGCACATGCGGGGGAAAAAAATATTGAGTAAACACATACGACAATTCCTCCATAAAAAATAATGTGTCACTAGGAAGTTTGACGTTTTAGTCGTACAAAACAGCGTTGTAGTCGTGCAAAACAACGGCGAGGCATAACAGGCCAGAGCCCCGATTTTAGTGCGCGCCCGAGGAGGCCTAATCTCCACAGCAACCACCGCAGATCGGTTTCCAATAACAGACAAGCGTTACTTTCGTAATTAGTTTTAACATTCCTCCAGACACCTTTGGAGAGCGCCGGACACATTGCCTGTCAAGGAACTTTGTACTTTTGATTAAACGAACCAGACATCTCAAGGAAACGCGAAATTTGATCAGACTATTTGGGTATTATACATTCATTTCACGGTCGATTGAAAATTTAGAAGTCGATCTTCGCGGCTGGCTTCGCAATTGATAAGTACAGTTTNCATTCCTCCAGACACCTTTGGAGAGCGCCGGACACATTGCCTGTCAAGGAACTTTGTACTTTTGATTAAACGAACCAGACATCTCAAGGAAACGCGAAATTTGATCAGACTATTTGGGTATTATACATTCATTTCACGGTCGATTGAAAATTTAGAAGTCGATCTTCGCGGCTGGCTTCGCAATTGATAAGTACAGTTTTCTCGCCGCATTTGGATTCAAATAGGCTTGATACGCCTTCAATGGTTTTTCAACCCGTGTCAACATTGGTGACCTTCGAAGCGAAAACGGCGAGTCGGCGTATCAAGTTTTTACTGAGGAGCCACAAGTAGGAATACACTCTCTGCTGGCACATCTTTCTCTGGTTTGGAAGGAACTCTGGAAAAAACCCTGACCCCCAAAAAATTTAAATCTTCTCTATTTGAACGTTTGAGAAAGGCCGTCAGCAATGCACATTTTATGGTCGCCGGTGTAAACGAATGCGAGAGCTCGAGCTCTACTTCACATCTCCTTGAGGAACAGCAAGACCGATTATCTGATTCAATGGACGACCTTTTTGATCAAACGGCGAAGGATTCAAATCTTTTTTCTCTGGCTTAAGACGTTGTAATTGTCGATGTGCCTCCAGTGACAAATCACTCTCGAAAAAGCCTGCCAAGCACTGTCGAAATCCCGCCAAAATCTTATTCGCTGGAAGGAGCCCAAGACGCTGGATTACTCCAGATATTGTTTCACTTCAACATCTTCGTGTTCGCTTGAGCGATCTGTATAATCAACGTCACAGATATAGTATGGTTTCTATATCAGTCATGTTAGTCTCCTTGAAACGTCGATCACAATCCAAAAATTATTATTACAGGTTATCTTTGTATTGTTACTTGTTTTTTAATTAATAGGCCAAATTATACGGCTACCCTCTTCCTCAGAGCTTACAGGCAGCGCGCCCAAGATTCTGACGTGTTGGTAGTCTCTCTTTTGAAATGTCGGTCATTATCCAAATTATAATTATAGGTCATCTTTGTACTGTCATTTGTTTTTGACATAGGCCAAATTATGGGGCTACCCTCTCCCTCAGAGCTTACAGGCGGCGCGCCCAAGTTTCTGAGGTGAAGGTACTCTCTCTTTTAAAATGTCGGTCATTTACCCAAATTATTATTGTAGGTTATTTTTGTATTGTCACTTGTTTTTGAAACAGGCCAAATTATGGGGCTTCCCTCTCCCTCACAGCCTACAGGCGGCGCGCCCAAGATTCTGAGGTGATGGTAGTCTCTCTTTTGAAATGTCGGTCATTATCCAAATTATTATTGTAGGTCATCTTTTTACTGTCATTTGTTTTGAAACAGGCCAAATTAATTATGGGGCTACCCTCTCCCTCAGAGCTTACAGGCTGCGCCCCCAAGTTTCTGAGGTGATGGAAGTCTCTCTTTCGAAATTATATTGTAGGTAATTTTTGTCGTGTCATTTGTTTTTGAAATGGGCCAAATTAATTGAGGGGCTACTCTTGCTCCCTCAGAGCTTACAGGCGGCACGCCCAAGATTCAGAGGTGATGGTAGTCTCTCTTTTAAAATGTCGGTCATTTACCCAAATTATTAATTGTAGGTTATTTTTGTAATGTCGTTTGTTTTTGAAATAGGCCAAATTAATTTATGGGGCTACCCTCTCCCTCAGAGCTTACAGGCTGCGCGCCCAAGTTTCTGAGGTGATGGTAGTCTCTCTCTAAATTTGAAATTATAATTGTAGGTTATTTTTGTAGTGTCATTTGTTTTTTAAAAAGGCCAAATATCCACCTAAAAACCCGAGCGATGTGATTTAGTAACTTATTCATGGTGTTCAGCTTCCGGTTAGTTCAGTTTATCGCCATTTGTAGGCAAAGTTCACGCGCCCATTATCACACTCTAACTGGGTCGATTGTGAGGAGACTCTTATGTCAGTCATTGACTAAAAACCCCCGCACGTTAAGCCTTTGTGCGACGGACGTCGCTTAGAAATATAAATTGCCCACGCTGATCGCCAATTCTACTTGAAAAGTGTCTCTGATTGAGTTGTGTAATGTATTCTAGAGAGTAATTTTAGTACTAACCTCGCAGACAAGGATGTAATGAGACATTTATTTGCGTAGTTAGGCCTGCTATCCATTGGGCAAGCATCCCTTTTATTTCCTTTCGATAGCCTTTCCATGCACTAACCCTTGGGTGCAGAAACTAGCTGCCTCTCGCTGTACCAAAACTTGATAGTTTTGGCGTTCAATATTTTTAACGGGTGCTCACAAAACACCAGGACTGCATCGTGCACCTTTGACACTTTGGTACCCTGCGAGCTTTGGTTCATCGCGTTTTGAAATATGGAAATTTTGATATTCCCGCATAAAAGAAGACTGATAAAACGTGTCTTTCATTGACTACAGTGAAACACCCGGAAATGAAGGATGTTTTGAAAGAAACGGGAAAACTGATAAAAGTAAATATTTGTTTTGATAAGTGAAATCAATGAGAAATAACCATAAACTAGTTTTGTTTTTTGTTTTTTGGTTTTTTAAAAGCGGTTTGTCTGGTACCAGATATGTACAATTACTTTTAATCAAACATGGATCGGGTTTTGTTAATTATGACAGAATGTAATTAAAAAGCATTATGTTGACAGCTACAAGGCACATGCTTGCCTTAAGGTGGCTAGACTGGATTTTTTGGGGTTGATACCTCCCAAGTTTGAGCATTAACTACGTCGGCATGAGTAAATGTATGGAAAAAAGGTTACCACAACTGTATTATATAAAGATGAAAATTTCTTATGATCTGGGTTTTATTGCAATCGGAGTCGCCATGGCAACGGAATGACGCCATTACGTTTTTCATTTATCGTTGTGTTTCTCTGTAGCAGGAGTTTTTTGAAGAAATCGCTTAAGGGAGTATGTACCTGCCATAATTGCCTCCATTATGGCAAAGTTTGAAGAACTTCTATGAGAGCGTTTTCGAAATATTTTGAAATTCAGTTTTAATAACCATCAAAGCGGTGAAATAGCATACTAGCCGCAAAATTCGCTAATATTTTAAGAAAATGATAATCTTTGGAATCGCAGCTTCATCTCATAGTGGTTTGATTCCATTGAAAATTGCATACAAAAAAAGAGAGGAACTGCTCTGGTCGATCGCGAGTAAGAAGAATTTTATTAACTCGCATTCAACTGCTTTTGCCTAAAAATTTCGCATTTTTCCAAAAACCGCTCGATAAATTTTTTTATAAATTCGACAATCCCGAGATCGATTGTCAAGAAATATTCCCTACAAGTTTCAAGAACATTGAAAACAGGGAAGGCTTTTAAATAGGGCCTCAAACATAACCAATTTTCCCCCAGATTTTGTGTTTACAAGCGAGCGTCCTCATTATTCACTGGCATTGTTTTCAAGTTTCATATGCACGTGCACAACTAGCAAAAGATATAAATTTGCATCAAAAAGAACTCTCGATTACTTTCCGAAGAAATATCCGGAATATGCTAATAATTGGCTTGTCGTCACAGATAGCAGTGAGAGCCGAAACGGTGAACGTCACGGCTCATCGTATACTTGATTATCTTACTCGGGTTATAACATCACAGAAACTCTCACAAAGAGTTGCTCTGATATTATATAATGTATCACTAATCTCTTTACCCGGTAATTAGCATATCCCGGAGATTTAACCGTGGGTCCTTTTTGATGCAAATTCTATCTTTTTGCTAAATGTGCACGTGTATCTGAAACTTGAAAACAATGGCAGTGACTAATGAGGACGCTCGCTTGTAAACACAAAATCTGGGAGGAAAATTGGCTATATTTGAGGCCCTATTTAAAAGTCTTCCCTGTTTTCAATGTTCTTAAAACTTGCAGGGAATATTTCTTGACGATTGATCTCGGGATTGTCGAATTTATAAAAAAAGTTATCGAGCCGTTTTTGGAAAAATGCGAAATTTTTAGGCATGGACCAAATTACCTCCAAAAACTGTATCAACAGCATCTGAATGCAAGTTAATAAAATCCTTCTTACTCACCATCGTCCAGAGCAATTCCCCTCTTTTTTTGTATGCAGTTTTCAATGGAATCAAACCACTATAAGATGAAGCCGCGTTCCCAGAACTTGTCATTTTACTTAAAATATTAGCGAATTGTGCGGCTAACATGCTATTTCACTGTTTTTGTGATTCTTAAAACTGCATTTCAGAATATTTCGAAAACTTTGCCATAATGGAGGCAATTATGGCAGGTACATACTCCCTTAAGCGATTTCCTAAAAAAACTCCTGGTACAGAGAAACACAAAGATAAATGAAAAACGTAATGGCGTCATTACGTTGCATGGCGACTCTGATTGCAATAAAACCCAGATCATAAGAAATTTTCATTTTTATATAATACAGTTGTTGCAACCTTTTTGCCATACCTTTACTCATGCCGATGTAGTTAATGCTCAAACTTGGGAGGTATCCCTCTCAAAAAATCCAGTCGAGCCACCTTAAGCTGCGAGTATCCCGCCATGTTTTAAACAAAGGGCTTCTGACCAAGCATGCATTCTAATCCGCCACAAATATGTGAAGCAAGCGTCTTTCAAAGTCGCCTAGTACTTAAAATCGGGGCTCTGAAAGAAAAAAAAGCGTGCTGCACGTGCAAATTTGCCTTTTGTAATTAGAAGAAACTGAAGTGTGCTGCACGCGCAATTTTTTTTTTTTTTGCTAATTAGGTCTATTAGTCTTGAAGCGATTTTCATTGTCGTCTCCGTTTAGCATTACACGATTTAATTTTTTTGTCAAAGGTTTAAACCCAGGAGTCATTTCAAAACTAGGTTGAGTTTGATCGTCCGGGTGAACGTAGCCCTGAATAAGACTGTTGTTTTTGACAGTGACTGAAGTTTCGACAACCTGTGCGGTAGTCATCTTCAGATTCAACGTGAGTTGTATCACGTCAGTTGATGGTATTATACTCTGGTTATTGGTCTGATTAGTCAACTACGTTGCGATGTTATTGGTCGTCTGTCAGTTAATCCGTGATGTTATTGGCTATGAAGACTCGTAATCAGTAATTGGTGCGTTTCGATCCGTCTATTGTCACAGTTAAACAGTCGTCTATTGTCAATCAAATTGTCAGTTCTCCAGTCGTTCTCTCGTAGTTAGTTTCGCCGTTTTTTGCCAATAAGTCGTTTGTACGGCGCTAGTAACTGTTGGCTACGATTTAGTGGCGTTTGTTCTAAGTTAGTAAACCAGCTTTCTAAAGTAAGACGTTGATAGTAGTCCCAGTCAATTATGTGTTTCGTCTGTAAATGGTGCTCAGCAATTTGATTGTTGACGTCACTATTCCTCGTCGCTCGCGTCGTTTGTGTTCGGTCAGTCGCGTGCTTAGATTTCTGCCGGTTTCACCAATGTAAGAACCCTAGCAGTCGCAGCATTTGATCTTGTATACTGCTCCCGGTCTATCCTCCGGTTATCGCTTTGTGTGCAACTCGTATATTGTAAGGTTGTAATATAAGTGCAATAGTTTCAGGAGAGGTGCCTCTGATGTACGGTATAGTCCTTGTCGATACAGGGCCCGAGTTGGTCTAAGTGTTGGAATCAGTGTTACTGTGAGTGTCCCGTCTAACAAAGTCCATGTTGTAATTTTTCTTACTAAAAACGTTGTTAAGATAATCAGTCTCGTATTGTAGGCTGTCAGGTAAGTCGCAAACTAGTTGCGCTCAGTCTCGTCAAAGTCCGGATAGTAGTGGCCTTGTGAGAGGTCGGGTTGTACGAAGACTGGTCTAGAACTCTGTCGGTATGTGTCGGTTTTCTGTAAATGGTCGTTTTCAGTTTGTTGTTGTCGCTAGTGACCAAGCCTTCTAGAAAAGGTATCTTACCATTTTTTTCGATCTCCTTGGTGAACTGTATGTCCGCGTTCTGTCTGTTAACGTGTTCGTGAAAATCGTCGATTCCATCTTTGTGTACGGCGGTGAATGTGTTGTCAACGGTAGCTAGGGCTTGTTCCTCGATGTTTTGCATGACAATTTCTGCTACAAAAACAGAAACTGAAGAGCCCATAACTGCACCGTGTAACTGTTTGTAGTGTTTGCCGTTGTACTGAAAATACGTCGAAGTCAAACAGAGGTTTAATAGGTCCATAATGTCGTCTGTAGGTAGTGGTAGTTCAACAGTAGAGTTCTTAATGGCGTTCTAAGTACAGTCTAGAGCCAGTTGAAGTGGAATACTGGTGAACAGTGATTTCACTTCAAAGGACACTAGTTTGTGGTCGTCCGGTGTCTGTATTGTCTTAATGGTGTCAATAAAGTTCTCAGTAGACTGTAGTTTGGTTCTAGATTCGTCAGTCAGCGGTTTCAGTACGTTACCGTAAAATTCCGAAAATAAGCCCCTCCAAATATAAGCCCCCAAATCTGGTAACGCAAAAACCCCTCCGCTAAATCGCCCCTCCAAATATAAGAATCCCCCAAGGGCTTGTATTTGGAAAAATTGCCCTCAAATACAAAGTAAAAAGAAAAAGCAAAAACGGTAAATATACTTCCATCTAAAGGCTAGCCCAATAGATTTTGAAACGCAAATTTCCCTCCGTGGATAAGCCCCTCTGAATATAAGCCCTCCAAAAATAAGCCCCTCAAAAAGGGCCTTTGAAAAATATAAGCCCCGGGGCTTATTTTCGGAATTTTACGGTAGTTTATAAGTATTATTAACCAGAGCTTCGCTTTTAGCCCTGGCTAAATCTATACATTAGAGAAGATGGCTTATATCTGAGAGAGGGTCTAACCTAATTTAGCAAAGATGATGGTATTAGTCCCTTATAAAGCCGCTAGGACGCAAAGTGGAAAATCTCAAGTATACAACTTTGGAGGTCGGCTCTAGGCGAAGGTCAAGCAAGCAAATCGAAACTTTCAACACTTGCGCCATTCCGGATCAGTTCACATGAGGTGCCTATTCAGTTTATCATTTATTTATTTTGATATGAAGAATAATAAGGGAGAAGAAGGAGAGACCTAATAGGAAGGGGGGGGGGTATTTATTTTATTACCCCGTATACTGGGGGTCTTATAAGAGAGGGGAGCTTAATAGAGGATTTACAATATCTGCAAATTTATCACGTAAATTATTTAGGATAAAGAGCGAGTTGAAGACACACCAAATAACTCCGAAGCAAGTGGGGGACCTTCGAGTACTCCAGACGGGAAGAAAGAGCAAGGAGAAGAAGGTGATTTTGACGAGGACGATCGATGCAAAATCCCAATGACAGTGTTTTGGTCGTCGATCCAGGAAGAGAATGCTGCACCAAAGACAGATGAGAAAGAGTGTAATAACGATTGTGAGACGTTTTATCCAACTGACGCGATGTCCTTTGCATGGCAGATAGCACGAGGAATGGTGGGCTTATTTAGATTTTTTTTGTGTGTCTCTTGGAAACCATAACCGGTTACAGTGTAGCCGTCCGTAGAAGTTCTGATTTTACATTTGGTGTAAAGTTTTAATTTAAAGATGAATTTAACGAGAAAACGAGAATAAGTACACGTTACAGAAAATGAACAGATTTCGACACCAGATAAAATTAGATTTCATTATCCGTTTGTTTGTGCGATGTTTACATGGATATAAAAATGGGTATTTCTATCTTCTTTTTCTTTTGTTTTCTTTTTTCTATTTTAGAGCTAATTCTTCAAAACCTTTATTATTCTTAGCTACTAGCAAACTTATATGTTAATTTCTTATCTGCGACGCACCGGTAAATTAAAGCGGAGGTCACCGGTTCGAATCCCGTTGAAGCCCTGATATATTTCAGGCTTCTTCTTTCCAATTGCTTAAATTGGAAAATTCACTGCGATGATCATTCTTCACTTTTATCTCATTCACTTACTAACTGGCTTTACACTTTTCAGAGCTACCTCTCTGAGAAGGGTTTAGTTCACAGGGATCTTGCTGCAAGAAACATTCTTGTTGGGCACGGTAAAAAACTCAAGATTGGAGACTTTGGTTTGATGCGAGAAATGTATCATGAGCTGTATGAAGTTAAGAAGCAAAAGAAACTGCCCATCAAGTGGATGGCACCAGAGGCGATTTATGAACAGATCTTCACCTCCAAAAGCGACGTGTATGTGCTATTTTTGACATATAATACAGCGGAGTATAACACCGATTTAACGTGTGCAAGAAACCTTAAAATTCCGTTAATTTGAGTGTGCGTCGCTGCTTGAGGCTTTTTATGTGTATATGGCATAAACATAATTTAGGCTTCTTAAGAATTCCCTTGAGTCTAAGTTTCCCCCGTAATGGTTACTTTCCAAGATGTTACAAAAAATTTCTTTCATTGCAGAATTTTTCAAGATCAACCCGTTATGTTTCCACTCGATTTCATACCCTCTAG